AAACGTTAACTCTTATTCCACAAAAGGATTTGAACCTACACACTGCACCAAAGTACAGTGCTTATGCCACTCGGCCAGATCCCATGTATTATTATTATAATCAAAGAAAGCGCTAAACAGATCCCATATAAGTATGGTCGCCTAGCTCAAGAAAGGTAGTCACTCTCCATACCCCTTGACACCAGGCCAGTGATAAGTTATGTAATCAAATCTTGCTACATGCAGTGAACATCGAAAGAGATTTTGAAATGATTTAATTATTATAATCAAGGGGAGCACTAAACCCATAGGATTATGCAGTGCACAGCTGTGGGGGAATGTGTAAGGTATTCAGGCTTAATTCAGGGAACTGGAGCATAGATCCAATTCCCTAGCATCAAGTTGAAATAATTTAACAATTCGCAAATGGGCGAAATTTACAAACATTATCTCTCAGTCCACATTATTAGTATACTGTACTCAAAACCAAGCACTAAACCCACTAGGGTCATACAGCGCTATCTCAGTCCACAGCAGGATTCTAACCTACACACACTGCATCAAAGTATATTGTTAATTGTTAAGCATTTCAAAATCTTTCAATGTTCACTGTACGTGGCAGAATTTGAAATAACATATCACTGTCCTAGTGTCCTGGGGTATGAGTGTGCCTAGTTTTGCTAGGTGCCTATACTCAGCTGGGATTTGGACAAGTGGCATAATTACTGTATACTTTGATACAGCGTGTGTAGGTTCGAATCCTACTGTAGACAGAGACAATGTTTGTATACATGTACAACAATGAAGACTTGGGTAATATCAGCATTACTGTTATAACTATGTGCAAGCACTAAACCATTGGGTTCATATGGCAAATGAGGAATGGGAGGCAATCAGGTGGAAGGCTAGGTCCACTTCACTGGAACAAGAGCCCCTCGCTAGCATCAAGACAGCTAACTTCCTTGAACGTGTAATAACTGAACACTAGTTATAGTTTGTAAAAGAAATTTCATTGAAGATGAGGAGCTGTTAAGACTCAGTTTCTAGTATGAGAGATAACAACACTAGTGAATTATTATTATTATTATAATCAAGGGGGAAGCGCTAAACCCGGAGGATTATACAGCGCCTGGGGGGGGATGTGGAAGGCATTCAGGCTTAATTCGGGGAACTGGAGCACAGATCCAATTCCCTAAATCAAGAGCCCCTCACCAACATCAAGGAACCTTCCTTGAGGGGAATACTAGTGAAGACGCGAGTGTTAGTACGTGCTAATGCGAGTACAACTCTATTATAACAAAGCACTAAATCTACAAGGGTAATATAGTGCTAGGTAATAGTCTGAATGCATGTCAGAATATAAGTAGGATTGTCAGCTTATGAGTGTGAAAGGATGAACTTTCAGGAAGGAGTCAGTGTTGGGGTGGTAAAGACGTGAGAAGTGAATTCTGCATTCCTTCTGATAGGAAAATTTATTAAGATATAGTGGACCGATAGTCCTCACAGTGATGCTGGGAGTTTTCCATGAAGTACCCGGGTGAGGCATGTGTGGCCACCCTATGGAAAGAATGGCACCCCTCCCAGAGAGGGCCCCTACCCAGAAGTAAAACCCTTATCACACTATTAGTCATAGAGGAAGAGCTAAACCTATGTCATACAGCAACTGGGAGAATGGGAAACAATATTTCAGTCCAAGAGTATTTCTCCAGCATCAGGGATGGAAGGAAAGCATACCTCATTTTTACTGACCCATTGAAGAGCCCTTCAACAGTAGCAAGGCACCTCAAGAGGGGTAACAATGCGTAAAACAGGAAGCTCAAATCCAGGATTTTCATGTGACTTGTCTTAAAAATTACCTGTAATAACTGGGGTTCAACTAGGTATTTTATGTAATTTCTGGTTTTACACTTATCATGACATATATAAATGAAACACTGAAATTCAACCCCATAATCTGGAGGTTCCTAAGATTCCAAATCCAACACTGTTACAATCACGCTGTAGTGATTAGTAGTATCCCAACTAGAAAATTATTTTCACTATCAATTTAAGCCAGGCACTGTAGAGTACTATCCCACTCCTGTAGTTAATAGTAGAGATCATTATATTACACACAGAGAAGGGGCCAGAGCTAAACCTGTAAGGGTCATACATTACCTAGAGGAATATGGAAAATTCAGGTTCAATCCAAGGAAAGGGATGCAAAGTCCAATTTCTTGGATAAGGGGCCCATTATTAGCATCAAGCAATCTCCTGAGAAAAAGGAGACAGATGTGTGGAACTGAACACTCAAAATTGAAAGCTATCAATACATAAGGGAAAAAAATTTAGGATACAATTATTCATGGATAAGAGGGGAGGGTACCTAGGGATTGGCAGAGAGCATGTATAGTTCATTTATATAAAGGGAAGGGGGACAAAGATTATAAAAATTATAGGGGAATAAGTTTACTGAGGGATATGTTGTGTATCTTTATATGTGTATGCTTCTAGACCGTTGTATTCTGAGCACCTCTGCAAAAACAGTGATAATGTGCGAGTGTGGTGAAAGTGTTGAATGATGATGAAAGTATTTTCTTTTTGGGGATTTTCTTTCTTTTTTGGGTCACCCTGCCTCGGTGGGAGACGGCCGACTTGTTGAAAAAAAAAAAAAAAAAGTTTACTGAGTATACCAGGAAAAGTGTATGGTAGGGTTATTATTGAAAGAACTAGAGGTAAGACAGAGTAGGATTGCAAATGAGCAAGGAGGCTTTAGAGTGGATAGGGGATGTTTATATCAAGTGTTTACATTGAAGCATATATGTGAACAGTATTTAAATAAAGGTAGGGAAGTTTTCATTGCATTTATGGATTTAGAAAAGGCATATGATAGAGTGGATAAGGGAGCAATGTGGCAGATGTTGCAAGTACGTACATGGAATAGGTATTAGGCTACTAAATGCTGTAAAGAGTTTTTATGAGGATAGTGAGGCTCAGGTTAGGGTGTGTACAAGAGAGGGAGATTACTTTCCGGTAAAAGTAGGTCATACACAAGGATGCGTAATGTCACCATGGTTGTTTAATATATTTATAAACAGGGTTGTAGAAGTAAATGCTAGTGTTGGGGAGAGGGGTGGGATTAAATTATGGGGAATCAAATACAAAATGGGAGTTGACACAGTTACTTTTGCTGATGATACTGTGCTTATGGGAGATTCTAAAGAAAAGTTGCAAAGGTTAGTGGAAGAGTTTGGGAGGGTGTGTAAAGGTAGAAAGTGAAAAGTGAACATAGATAAGAGTAAGGTGATGAGGGTATCAAATGATTTAGATAAAGAAAAATTGGATATGACATAGGAGAGAGGGAGGCTGGAAGAAGGGAATGTTTTTAGATATTTGGGAGTTGACGTGTCAGCATTTGGGTTAATGAAGGATGAGGTTAACCATAGAATTGATGAAGGAAAAAAGGCGAGTGGTGCATTGAGGTATATGTGGAGACAAAAAACGTTATCTGTGGAGGCAAAGGAGGGAATGTATGAAAGTATAGTGGTACCAACACTTACATGGGTGTGAAGCTTGGGTTGTAAATGCTGCAGCGAGGAGGCAGTGGAGATGTCCTGTCTAAGGGCAATGTGTGGTGTAAATATTATGCAGAAAATTTGGTGTGGAAATTAGGAGGTGTGGAGTTAATAAAAGTATTAGTCAAAGGGCTGAAGAGGGGTTGTTGAGGTGGTTTGGTCATTTAGAGAGAATGGATCAAAGTAGAATGACATAGCCTATAAAACTGTAGGGGATGGAAAGCAGGGTAGGGGACATCCTCAAAAAGGTTGGAGGGGGTAAAGGAGGTTTTGTGGGCCAGGGGCTTGGACTTCCAGCAAGCATGCATGAGCGTTAGATAGGAGTGAATGGAGACGAATGGTTTTTTGGGATCTGACAAGCTGTTGGAGTGTGATAAGGGTAGTATTTAGTGAAGGGATTCAGGAAAACCAGTCATTTTTATATAGCCAAACTTGGGTACTGGAAATGGGAAGTACAATGCCTACACTTTAAAGGAGGGGTTTGGGATATTGGCAGTTTGGAGGGATATGTTATATATCTTTATATATGCTTCTAAACTGTTGTATCTGGGTGCCTTTGCAAAAATAGTGATTATGTATGAGTGAGGTGAAAGAGTTGAAGTATTTTCTTTCTTTTTGGGTCACCCTGCCTTGGTGGAAGACGGCTGAGTTGTGCCAAGAAAAATTGAGGGCTCAGGATTGATCTCTAAGAATACTTCATCTCCTTGGATCATGAGCCTTTCACCAGCATAAAGTCAACCTCTAACATTATATTCAAGAGGGAAGTGATTAACCTTTTTAAAAAAATTATAATACCTGGGAAATAGATTTGATCAAAGTGGAAGGTAGCTCTAATTCCTTGGATTATTACTCAAAGGAAGCACTTGACCAAGAAGGGTCATACAACACCTGGTGAACAGAAAATGATTTCAATTAGTGAAGTCCTAAATGGGAAAAGGGAGGCACTTAATCTATAGACTGGGAGGAAGAGCAAACCAGCATCCCCTTGGGTGGTATTATTTTCAAAACTAAGCAATAAACCCACAAGGGTCATGTAGCGCTGTCTTGGGTAGTAGAACAGAATAATGGTTTGATCCAAGGGGTGAGGTAGCTGCAATTCCTTAGATCAAGGGTCTTTCACCATCAAAGCAACTCATTTAAGGGAAACAATACCATCCACTTTATTACCTAAATTCAATAAGGAAATGCAGCCACTCCCATGCTGGTTGCAGTGATAAAGGATTTATAAAATGTGAAATCTATCAGACCCAACAATGATGATTTGGAAGTGAACAGAAAAATCTCAACCACCCATGTGACTCGAGAACCATCATACAACCCACGGCATCTACAGATGTTTCAACCTACCTTCTAAGAATAGCTGCCCAAGACACCTCGACCTCTTACCAACTATGTCTTTATGATTTCTCAGTCTCTTACAGACTTTTCAAGTTTAAAAAATTATCACTAAGGAGTACAAACTAAAAATAGACTTTTCAACATTTATTACAAAAAACATTAAAGTACAAATCATAATTGAAAAAAAAAAGTTCTTTAAATTAAGACTTCATGAATATAGATTAAAAATGTCTGAAAGTATCATGAAAGAACTGAAAAATATTCATAGAAAATACCGCACAGTGACTGAATATTCGGCATTGATTATCAAGCTCCCATACACACATTGATAATGCATTATGCACTCTGCTGGCTCCCTAAAGGATTCTTCACAACTATGATCACAGAATCTCCTCGTAGAAACATCTTCTGGATATACCTGTGGAAAAAAAGTTACTTACATATTATATAATAATCATCATCAAGAGCCAAAGTTTGTACTATTTGTAAAAGGAACATGGGAAGAGCATCAAACACAAAGGCATTCAGGTTCAATCCAAGAGGCAGGGCCAATTCCCTAAGATCAAAAACCCCATTGCTGACATCTAGAAACTTTCCTTGAGGGGTTTAGACATTAGTGCAATATACAAACTCATAAGTCCTTAGGGTGTTCTTCAACTTACATATCCTTGGTTAGGCCTCATTTAGATTATGATGTACAGCTTTGGTCACAGTATTACAGAATGGATATAAATGCTCTGGAGAACATATAAAGGAGGATGACAAAGTTGATCCCATGTATTAGAAATCTTTCCTATGAGGATAGAGTGAGGGCCCTGAATCTGCACTCTCTAGAAAGGCGTAGAATTAGGGGGGATACGACTAAGGTGTATAAATGGAAAACAGGAATAAAGGGGATGTAAATAGTGTGCTAAAATATCTAGCCAAGACAGGATTCGCCGCAATGGTTTTAAGCTGGAAAAATTCAGATTCAGGAAGGATATACGAAAGCACTGGTTTAGTAACAGAGTTGAGGATGAGTAGAACAATCTCCAGAGTACCACCACAGAAGCTAAAACGTCATGTAGTTTTAAAAATAGGTTAGATAAATACATGAGTGGGTATGGGTGGGTGTGAGTTGGACCTGACTAGTTTACACTACTAGGTCAGATGCCATGCTCCCTCCTTAAGTGAATGTGACCTGACCTGACTAAGTTGGGGCATTGGCTTGGGCTGGAGGGGGACTTGGACCTGTCTCGCATGGGACAGTAGGCCTGTTGCAGTGTTCCCTCTTTCTTATGTTCTTATTAAGCTCACCTTTCACGGTTAACAGGCTTTGCCTTCTTTTGGCCCTTGGCTGTCTTTGGCTGTTCCATCCAGATCTCGGTTACTTGCTCCAGAACCATGTTGAAATGGCGGTCAAATGCCTTGACTCTTCCTAACAACTTTTTGTTATTCCGGCAATTGATAAGAACCTGCAGCAACAGAAGATAGTGTGTTATTTTACAGCAAAAAATTACATGCAAATGTCATATCAAGTACTGGACAAATTTTCCAAATGTACTGAGACAGTATCACAAATTGGCACAATGATAACTCCAATTTTAACTGGAGGTACATAACCACTAGTCCCTTGCATAACTAAAATTTCAATAATCTTATAATCTAGAAAACAAAACTGGTTTGGCCACCAGTAGTACCCCTGATGCTATTTTGTCACTTTTTTCTTCATCAAACTGGCCATATCTCACTGAGATAGGGTGACCCATGAAAGAAAAATACTTTCACAATCACTCACTCCATCAGTGTCTCACCAGAGGTATGCCAATACTACAAAACTGCAAATATCCCAATCAAAAGTGTGGGCAATGTACTTCCCACCTACAGCACTCAAGTACGGGTAACCGGTTTCCCCGAATCCCTTCATAATTGTTATCTTGTTCACACTCCAACGCCATTCTTTTTTTTTCAACAAGTCGGCCATCTCCCACTGAGGCAGGGAGACTCAAAAACAGAGAAAATCCCCGAAAAGAAAATACTTTCATCATTCAACACTTTCACCTCACTCATACATAATCACTGTTTTTGCAGAGGCACCCAGATACAACAGTTTAGAAGCATATATAAAGATATATAACATCCCCCCAAACTGCCAATATCCCAAACCCCTCCTTTAACCCTTAGACTGTCGCAACCCCAAATCCTGAAGTGTCTCCTGGTGTCGTAAAATATGGGGATGGGGGGGGGGGGGGGTTCTTATGAAATGATAGAATCTTTTTCCGATGGTAACGACACCAAAATATGAAATTTAACAGAAAACTTACGGAATTACGCTCTCATGAAGTTAGCGACCTCAGCGATATTTACGAATCAGCGCTCTTGCCCAGGCGCGGATCTAGGAACAAAGTTTGGGGGGCGGGGGGCCGACGGCAGAATTTTCGGTTGTTTAAAGAGCATTAGCATTACCGTTTCTCCACTAACGGGATTCTTATTTGTTAATTACTGGCGGACTGACCTAAATGAATGGGCATAACCATCTGCTCTAGGTGCCAGTGTTTCTCTTCGGATTCAAATGAGAGGGCCGATTTTTCTGAGAAAAAAAAAAAAACACTGACCTTACAATGTGAGGAATTTTGTATCTTATTAAAACTTTATTGAAAGTAAGAATTTAATAGCTAAGAGACTTTTACATTAGACATTAACTTAAATGTAGAATATATATATATATATATATATATATATATATATATATATATATATATATATATATATATATATATATATATATATATATATATATATTATATATATATATATATACAGTGGACCCCCGCATAGCGACTTTAATCCGTGCAAGAGGGCTCATTGTTATGCGAAATGATCGGTATGCGAATGAATTTTCCCCATAAGAAATAATGGAAATCAAATTAATCCGTGCAAGACACCCAAAAGTATGAAAAAAAATTTTTTACCACATGAAATATACATTTTCCTACACACACAGAGAAGGATACATGCACAATAGTAGAGTAGTATGATACATGCACAATAGTAGAGTAGTACGATACATGCACAATAGTAGAGTAGTACATGCACAATATATATTGTGCATGTACTACTCTACTAAATGAAGAATAAATGACACTTACCTTTATTGAAGATGCAGCAATGACTGATGAGACACTGTGTCCTGGGAGTGCCTTTTCCTCCTGAGTACTGTAGGTCCTGTTTGGCATTTTCTTCCAGAACAGGCCTTATCACACTGTGTATGCCACTACGATTCTTAAATCTCTCAAACCAACCTTTGCTGGCTTTAAATTCACCAATATGAGCACTAGTTCCAGGCATTTTTCCCTGTTCACCTGGGTGTTAGTCAACTGGTGTGGGTTGCATCCTGGGAGACAAGATTAAGGACCCCAATGGAAATAAGTTAGACAGTCTTTGATGACACTGACTTTTTTGGGTTATCCTGGGTGGCAAATCCTCTGGGGTTAATTGTTTCTTGATATTCTCAATAAGCCACACCAACAACGGTGCTACAGCAGCAGCAGCTGACAGTGCTACAGCAGCAGCAGACGATGCTACAGCAGCAGCAGACGATGCTACAGCAGCAGCAGCAGCTGACAGTGCTACAGCAGCAGCAGACGATGCTACAGCAGCAGCAGACGGTACTACAGCAGCAGCAGACGGTACTACAGCAGCAGCAGACGGTACTACAGCAGCAGCAGCAGCAGCAGCAGCTGACGGTGGTAAAACAGCAGCAGCAGCTGACAGTGCTACAGCAGCAGCAGACGATGCTACAGCAGCAGCAGACGGTACTACAGCAGCAGCAGACGGTACTACAGCAGCAGCAGCAGCAGCTGACGGTGGTACAACAGCAGCAGCAGCTGTACCACCAATAGTAGCGATGGTTGATTGGGGTTTATTATACAACCTGGCCAGCTCGGAGACATGCACTCCACTTTCATACTTATC